ATTTAAAATGGGTAACACCAGCACAGATGGGCAAGGCAGGGCGCGCTCACTGCTCAGGGAGCGCAGTGCTAAAAGCCTGCTTCTGTCTGACCAGGAACAGGGAATGCAAACAGCAGATGCAAACACACAAGTTATAAGGTACTGAGGGCACTGGCAAACCTCAGCAAGAACCAGAGCCAGCTCTCTGTTGCTGTGAGCGTGAGCCTTAGCCAGTCCCCAAATTCACACAGCAGGAAAAAAACGAAGAGCAGCTTTTCCTTCAAATCATCTATTTTTCACCAATACGCAATCCAGCATCAAACCCACTCCCTGCCACCAACATTAAGCACCTCTACAGGACACAAGGCCTGCAACTTTGCTTTCTGCCAAGGTCCCAGCTCAGTGACTCCTCTACGCTGCAGCCTGCAGAACACAAGGCTTCATTTCCTCCTGCTTTGTTTTCCCCTAGCACACATTTCAGGAGGACACAGCAAACTGACGGCAGCTTTCTGTGATAATTTGGATTTATTTTGCCGCTACCTGCACCGTTTATCCTCTCACAAAGCTGGATGCCAGAATCACATCCCTTCTCTTTCTGTTGTGAGATTCTTCACATGGGGAGGACCTGGGCTGCTGTTTCGTTTTCTGGAAACTGAATACCTGGTGACTGAGAAGGCAACCCAGAATTTAGCAGCTTCTAGTTATTCCAGCAGCTGTTATGTGAAGGCCCAAGGACATCGCTCAGTTGTGGCACATACCTTCAGTATTTTCACATTGCACCAAAGGCTTCTGACATTTGGGTGATGGATGCCACTGCAAAGTGCCAGGGGAAGAGGAAGGATCTTGAAAATAAATCCCTCATTTCATGATCTGCACTGAGTGGGAAGGCCTTAGACCCAAATTCACACCTGAAGAAAGCCCTAGAACTACTACTATCTATTCTTTTAAGCTCTGATTCTGACAACTCTGCAATGGTTTCTGCTGGGTCAATTCCTGAGTAGTCTTTCTGCTCTTCCTTTAAAAGCCAAACCAACTTCCTCCACCCTACCAATGAGCTAACCACAGTAAAAGCACAAAAAGCAGCGATTTTACAGAGTGGGTGGGAGATTCCCTTGGCTAGAGAAACTAAAATGAGTGAATTCCTTAGCAGAGTCAGGGCCAACAAGGCTTTTCTGCAATTCAGGGAGAGAAAACGAAACAGGGGAGGTTCATCTGGAAAGCACCAAGAACAGAACAACAAAACTGAAGTTGCAGTGGCTGCCCAACACCTTGCAAGTGCCGTGGCCAATACATGGGACATTTGTAGCCCTGCCCAGCCCATGGGCAGAGAAGATAAACTCCAAGAGCATAGCACCCCAGCGTCTGTTCCAGCCTTACCTTTTGGCGATGACCGGGCACTCACATCTGTGCATGCCTCTTGTTTCTGGCTTAAGTTACCTAAAGGAGTTGGATTGCAAATTAAATACAGTTACTGTGAGTATCCTGCTCTTGAAATCTGGCCAAAGCCAAAGGGCAAGCAGCTCACAACACACACAGTGGTACAAACCAAGACTTGGTGTAAGGGTTGATGCAACACAGCCAGATTTCAGGCTCCCCATCTGATCTTTTCCTTTCAGATTGCTCTAAAATACAGTTAACTTCTGTTTTCAAGGGAGGAGTGAAACAACTTTTCTCTAAGATACATACAAACTCAGAGCGTGGGCAGCTTTGGCTGATATAAAACCACACTGCAGCCAAAAAGGGAAGTCCTACCCTTCGCCATTCCTGCAAAGGAGGTGTTTCTGTGATGAAACCATTGGCAGAGTCAGTCAGCAGCCCGGTCAAGGGCCTGTTCTTACTCACTGCACAGCTCAAGCTGCCACAAAACCCCACTCAGCACAGCCATCCCCACAGACAATGTTCACAGAGCTTCAGAGGGAGATCCTGCTCAGGCCAAACAGGAGTCAGCATACCACCAGGACTCTTCTGTTCAGATAAACTCATGCTTGAAAGCATCGCTCTCCAAAATCAGATGGGAAGCCTTCATACATTAATTCCTCTCACTGTCATTTCCAGCATTTCCCAGCTGGGAGTGCAGGCCAGTACTCTGGCATTTCTAGCTCTAGCATGAGTTGGAAGCAAAGAGAACAAGGCTCCAAATGTGCAGACGTGCTGTGCCATGGCCTCACACAAAATCCGTTCAATAGCTCAAATATCCTGACTCTTGCCCTGTGTGCCATGTAAAGCAAAGTAAGCCAGTTCTGGTGCTGGAAGACTTGATCCCACTATTTCTCCGCTGCTCACCCCAAGACTGCTTGGGCTGCCCCTCAGGTTGGTTTTAGCCTGCGTCAGTTCTCCAGTCTCACTCACCATGCAGACAGGAACTCTTCCCTAGGAGTCACTTCAGCTAAGGCAATATAATGGTTAATCTTGCCTAACCTAAGACTGCTTCACTACTCTAAAATGTGGTCCCATGTTGTCCACCTCCAAACCACCAACTCCTGCCCACACCCTTGGGACAACCCCTGCAGCCACACAGCTATGCTCAGGGTTAACCCTGACCCTATGCTCAGGATTAACTGAAAGCCACCCCTAGAGCAAAACCAAAAGCAATTCATCTTCAGAAGGCTCAATGATGCTACACTGTTAACACGAGTTAAACCAGCATAAGACAACTCCAAAACCTTAAGAGACATCTTCTTTTATGATAAGCCACAGCATTAAAAGGCTGAAATCTGTTTCAGCTTCAGTCCCAAGAGAAAGCCCCCATCAGCCTTTGCTCCCTGTTGCTTGTCTGATCTTCCCCCCATTTCATCTCTGCAAAAGTAACTGCTGCTGCAGTTGGTTACCAAAAGCTGCATTTGTCCAACTGATGCAAGTAACGACAAGCTACTGCAAGCAGGATGTGAAAAACAGTACCACTGAGAAGGACTCATCACGTAAGACTTCCTGCAACGTATGATGTTAACAGAAAAGAACGAATAACCAGATAAAGTAATCCACTAAGGGAGAGGTGTAGTTTAGCTGGTGCCACAGGCTTTCATAAAAGAGACAGCATGCACACTGTGTGTATAGTCTACAATGTAACATGCAGTGTATTGACTGCACTCTTCCCGGATTACATGATTTTCTCTGAAGCCACACCCTCCAACTGCTACTGAGAGATACGTGGAAGTGGTTTTCTTGTGGTGTGAGCTATTTTAAGACTTCTGTATTTCTCGCCTTTCTGCATCAGGAAAATAAAAAATAGCAATTAAAAATCCACAGAACAAAAAGGTAGTATTTTTTTCTTCTTTAAAGAAATCTATCAAAAATTTCACCTCAACTTTATTGGAGAGGGGGTGCACAATTTTTATCAGTTTTGGCTTTTTATGTCTATTTTCTTTACCTCAACTTACATTTTTAAGCCAAAAGTTGTGCTTCCAAGGAAAAAATAACACAATAAATTTCAGCAGTTTCAAAACCTCCCTTCAAGAAATCTGGAAGAGTAAACTTGGCAAAATAAACTTTCTCACCAAGAAATATGGACTGAAGCTAAATTTTCTGATTAAGAAAATAATTGCCATCGAGAAACTCCTGAGCTACTATTGCATCAATGTTTTCTCTCTCACAGCTATCATGATGCTCTCCACTCTCACAAAAAGCAACTGGGAGTCCCTACAGCACAGCGCACCTTCTTCCCCACATTTCAGACAGACTTAGTTAGTGTCTCAAGAACACTGTTTTTTCCTCTGGGCAAAGTGACTTTGCCCTTGGGGACACTTCCAATTCAAGAATCCAGATGATATGACCACGCAGGCTCCCACAAGGTCCACAGAACTCTCCATCCTCAAACCAGGCCAACTCTTACTTGAAAGAGCCAAGAAAATGCCCACCAACACCAGCAAGGCGTAGCACAACTGGGGAAAAAGCACATCTCAAAATGTGAACTACTGCTGTTTGCTGGCAGTAACTGGTTTTGGAGGGACTGATCTTATTCTAGAGATTATGGTGAAAGACAGACAGGGTGAACCAGGAGGAAAGTCAGATCATTTTTTAAACCAAGCAGCTTGGTTAAAAAGGCTTGTAGCTGCCTGGACACCACTGAGAGGACTGCCACCTCTCACTGACGAGGCACTGACCGCACAAGTGAGGGCACTGGTGATCTCACTGCCTAGACTGGTCTGTTGGCTATGGGGGGCCAAGGCATTGGCCGTGTTTGGACATGGTCAGAGGAAGCTGCCCCGATCTCCATTACCTTCTCCCGTAGAACTCATGAGCAGTATCTCCAGATCCAGGGGGAGGTTGCACTCCATGCAGAGGTACTGTGTAAACTGCCTCCAGGTGGTAGGGCCAGCCTTCTCCAGCAGGTCAAGAAGCACTGAGACTTTTTCTCTGTGGTCGGTGATGCCATCCAAGCCACTCAGGGCCATCCTTGGGAGGAAGTGCTGGGAGGTCGTGAGCAGCCAGTCAGGACGATGACTAAGGAACTCCACTAGCTGGGGGCGGGCACTTGCTACAGCTGCTTCCAGGTCTAGATCATCATTCTGAAATGGAAGCTAGAGGGATGAAACCAGAAAGCGCAGCAACGGGCATAGGAGTGAGAGATGTTCACCCACACAGCCCTGCTGTCAAGCAGCCAGCACAGCCCTTGATGACTTGATCTGCTTTTCTACCCCTTGGTCCAACCCAGTGTTTCTTATCTGCCTTACTCTCACCACGTCATGACGCAAATCCCAGCCCAGCCATTACATGGTGCAAGGACCACAGTGCTTGTCTGCACAGTGCCTAATGCAGCAGTACTGCAAGGGACAGGAGCAAACAACAGGAGTCAGTCTCTCTAGCATCAGCCAGGGAGAAGCTCTGTTGACGTCTGTATCACGGTGGTGGCCATCCGCCAAATCTTGGGCATCTTTCACATGCAGCAGGACCTCTGGAGGCATGGGGAGGCATGGGACTCTAAAGGCAAGATATTTCACTGCACAAAGGGCTCAGGCAGCTGTTCTTGGTGCTCATTTTGTGGGGATGAACAACTCATTTCTACCTTAGTGACGCTTCCACTTCCTTCCCACAGCAAGGCCATGCACATATGGTCTCCTACCTGCATTTTTATGTGGTCGGCCTCCTCTCAGCTGTCAAATGCAACGGTGGCTTCTGCTCCATACGCTGACGAAGAACTGATGTGCTAGCGGCAGCGATTCAGCACACACAATCCCAATGCATGGTGCATGCCTATATGCAGTTGCTTCACTCAGTGCAGATGCCTAGGGATAATACCAACAGAGCAGGATGTAGATATGAAAGGGCATGGGCAATTACACAGGTCCCAGATCTAGAAGTTCTGCCTTTGATCCTGGGGTCAGCTTTGGAGTTTTTCATCTCTAGGTAGCAACCTCAACTCAAACCAGCAGTGAACACAAAGTTTGGACATTTGGGGATCCACTACTGGTGTGACGAAAATGAGGGACTGAGCCTTGTGCCCTAAGATGCAAGTGAAGACCAGCTTTACAGGAACACTTCAAGGGAATCACAGCTTTCCTGGCGTCATTGCCTGACTTGAGCTGGTCTTCTATGCCAACCTGCTGCTCTTAGTCCCTCCATAGAAGTTGATGCAGAAGAAGCAGCAGCTTGCTCAAGTCAGGCAGTCAGTCACACCAAAAAAACTGTGAAAAGCTGATCCTCTGAGGTTACACAGCTCTTGCAAGAGAGTGTCAGGTGCAGGGGGCTGAAAACACCACCAGTACCAGTGCCAGCCCCGCTGCCTCTCAGCAGGGATGGCAAAGGGAACTGTTTCTCCCTGAATTGCAGCTGGCGCTGGCTGGTGTCCAACCACTCCTACCAGAGGGAAAGGGACGAGGAAAGCAATTACCATTCTGCACTCCTCCAAACATACTGCAGCAGCACCCCAGCCCAGGCTACAGCAGCATCAGGACCATGCCACTGTGCTATCTCCATCAGACAGCTACCTACACTGATGTTGAAAGCCAGCTCCAGCTGTAACTACCATCACCATGTTTGCAGAAAGGCTGAGAAACAGAAACCACAGGGAGCAGCCTCCATGCTCCACCCCGCCACCAACTACCTGTCTTGCATCTAGAGGGAACGGTCCTTCCAGGTCCAAGACTGCTGCACTGTGTGTGGTGTGGGAAAAATTCCCACAGTTGCTGTAACACCCGAGTTTACGTGGGGTGGGGACGGGACAGTGACCAACCTAGTTCAGCAAAAAGCCAGTAACACTGTTGACTGGAAGCATCCTGTTGGGTAGAATCGTTTCATCCCCTAACGAGGCTGCTGCACACAACAGTACCATTCCCCAGTAACTGCCACGTCCTGAGCAAACACATTCCCAACCCAACAGCAGCAGCCACCCCACCACTATCAGGGTGGAGGGATGGGGGAGTAGTGCTGCGGAGCCCACCTTCTCTAGTGTTCAGCCCTCACTCCCCAGACATGCACTGACCATTCAGGTATCTACAGTAAAGTGAGCCACAGGCCTTTTATTTTTGCCACTTTCTTCACCTGGCCAAGGAGGAAAGTGGGACATTTCTATGGAGCTGAGGGAAGAACTCAAAACAAAAGTGGAAGACAGAAGGGCATTCTGATGGAAAGAGCCAAGACCTTCCTGTCTGCACACAGACAACTCCTAATTCATCAGAAAGTTATGCTCGTGCTGGAGTGACCTCACAGCAGAGCCACGCTGCTCCATGGGACATGCTGCACAGAGAGAACATCACCTCTCCACATCGCTGCTGGTCATGGCATGCACCCAGAAGCTGAAGACAAAATAAAAAGCAGGCACCAGCATAGAGCACTGGAGGTAAAACTGCCCAAGATGTTTGTCCCGCTCATGTTTAAGAGGATACCCCTTCTCCCATAACCCAGCACCACTCTCTGCCCTCTCTGTACTGCCTCTTCGAACAGCCTCAGATGTGTTGAGATGGAGCCAAATTAATGCAGCAAAGGGATATAACCTGACTTGAGTGCTACAGCGGAGGACTGGATGGGAAGGACCTAATCAGTCTCTTCTGTTCCTGTGCTCCGAAAGCCAAGCAGATATCTGATAAGAGCAAAGCTGGTGATACTGTACACTCTTTTACCAATCTCTGACTCTTCAGGTCAAAACACTGTCACCAGTTGGTTATTATACAGCATCACCATATACTGTTATACTACAGTATCACTGCAAGAAAGACACTACCCAGGTTCCCATTCCAGATCAAGCTTTCAGGATGCATTATGTAAAAAGTGAGGCAGCTCTGGGATCCATGAAAATGTGGGTAAAACCCCCACTTTGTAAAAATTCTTTAATGCCTCTCATTCATTACTCTAACAAGAACAACAACAAAGTTCCCAGTGAATGCTAAGAAAATTGGGCTTAACCAGAACCAGTGTTTTCCCCTAGCCAGTTCCGTGATGCCATAAACTGAGACTCTGAACCTTACTGGAGAGAACTCTGCCAGTTTTCGTTCAAAATTTTTTATTATGAAATTCATTTTATATTATCAATTATACCAATAAAAAATGCTAATAGTAACACATGTATTAAAAAAAAAAAAAGGAAGCAATGTTTCCATTAACTGGAAAGCTTAAAACAAAACATTTAAACATTTCAAATTTAAACAAACTGCAAAATAACAGGGCTTCCTGCAAAACAAACTTCATTTCCCAGTAGCCTGATCAGTCAACCTTTAGGGACTGTCATTTTACGTTTCTCCAGCCAAAATACAGAAACCTGTAGACAGCAATGCCCTGACTTTATTCCCGATGACCAAGAACTACCTACTTAATAAGACCATATTAAAAAAACATAAAATGAGAAAAATCGGACCTTAATGCCAATGAAGACTGAAAGCCATTCAGGCAAAGAGTAGACTCATATGAAATAATTAAAGACTCATATTCAAGCACAAAACACTGAAAGGTTAGATGAAAGCTCAGGTGATACTGCACAGCTCCTATACTCATACTGCTCTGCCAGATCTGACCATCAGAAACAACGGGCAGTGACCTACAGTAAAGTGCCTCTGAGCTCGAAACAAAGCACCAAAACCTCCCAAGAAGAGCCAGAAAATTTTTGAGCCTTGACCCTTCACCTTGCCCTTCAAATGCAGAAACACCATTAAAACACATTGCAAAAATATGCCTCGCCTTGCCTCCCCTCCCCAACTTGGCATTCACACCATTCCCAGCCACAAAAAATAAAACTGAAATGTGAAGCTCCCTGTTGTAAATCTATCAACTTCTTGCATGCGCCGAGGAATGCATGCTACTTACCGAAAGCCCAGAAACGGCAGCAGCACTGAAAACAAAGTGGGGGTCATAAAACAAAGGAGCTGGGGGACAACATCCACTGCCTTGATTTTTTCGCTTGCTAATCTACTCGAGGCACACAGCCCTTTGGTGCCTTTTGGAACCTGATGAGCAAAAGACAGATCAAAATGAAAGTAAAACCAGCTAGGAATTCCCCAACTGCAACTTATCTGTGGTAAAAACTGTGAGATGAGCAAAACAGCCAATCAGAACAGCAGAAGAGTGTTACCTATTCTAAAATCTATAGTTAGATGATAATTTAAGTAAAGCTTTTGGGGAGTGGTCCAATGAAATGGGACTTGGGGGCGAACACTCTCACTGGAGTAAACTCTGACATGGTTGTGGTTAAGGCTCTTGCAGTGGGAATATTTTTATTTATACGCATAGGTCTGATTATTCTGGGACACAGCATAACATTTATTTACCATTTTTGATATATCTAAGAGAAAAAAGCAACCTACCTTTCCTTTGGAACAGGGACAAGGCTTAATGAGAACGCAATAGATGTGAATGATTTGAGGAAAAAATCCCAGGTTCCCATATAGAACTGTGTGCACAGAGACAGGGTGTGACAAACAATAAAATTTTATCAATATTTCCCTAGATGCCAGAGAAGCTATGTTGGTCAACCAGATGCAGCCTGCAGCCAAGTCCCAGACAAGGCAAGATGGCACACAGCACTGTTTCAAAATTTATCAGGGGAGGAAAAAAAAAAAAACCAAACCCAGGTCCAGCAACACCCACATCTCGGATAGAAATACTTGCTCTGGTTGTCTTGCCTCGAGCACGGTGCAGGGGATGGGGTGAGCTCTGAGAAAGCCAGGGGTGGGTGGAGGGGACCATGGGTGGCAAGGAGCAGCTGGGGAGGCAACGAGCAGCACCCACTGCCACGCTCTGCCCCATTTTGTTGCCTTCCCGGCCCCACCGCACCTCCCAGTGGTGTTTCCACCAGACCGGAAGCTGTCGCAACACTACGAACGCAACCCCTTCATGGCCAAACTAGTAATTCTATGCCTAAAAATCGCCAGTCTTATCCTTGACAGACTCCCATACTCCTAGTAAAAGCTGCGATATTGATTTGCTCCCAGCACCTGGGAACAAAAGTCACCTCTAGCCACGCTTCTGACTTTGGACTTGAACATGTGGAAGCAAAGGGCGCAGTCAGACACCCAGTGCCCCCCAAATCTAAACCCTTATGGGGTGCCCCAGCACGACGCCTCCGCCCCGGGAGGATGGGGCAGCGGTAAAC